AATGCTCCTGGTTACAGGGAACACCACTATATGTTCCCTTATCAAAGAGAAGGCCTTGATCCTCTATGAGAAGCTACTGCGCATTCCCATAGATAAATTCTTCAGCACCTACGAAAATAGGCCAAGACATCCGAAAGCGCAATCTGGTCTAATACAGAAAGCCATGGAACTGAAGAAAGCATTACAAATTAATAACAAACCAAAAAGGCTCCTTCTATCCATGAGCCCACTGGCAGACACTGATGTGGTGTGTTGCACCCAACTGCTTGACCACTTCAGGGAAGCAAATACCACTCCAGAACAAATGCGCTCATTGGCCCTTAAGAGAATCAATGTAAACTACCCCGCAGATCAATGGTTCCAAGTCTTCACTGATGGGTCACACATAGAAAACCAAGCAAACATTGGTGCAGGTGTTTACTCTGAACTATTTTCTTTCTACACAGCAGCGGGAATAGAGAAATAGAGGTCATTAGGATAACACTAAGCCAATTATGTTGTCTCCATACGAAAGTCACCAAAGCAGTAATACTTTCGGACTCACAGTCAGCAATAAACTCAATTGGAAGCAGAGAGTCACCCAAAACAGCTGAGATAAAGGAATGTAGAAAACTCTATCAGCTGCTGAGAGAGGAAAACAAAACAGTGGTCTTACAATGGATTCCAGGCCACTGTGGCATTAAAGGCAATGAGCTTGCTGACTCATCTACTAAGAAGGGGACAACGATTTTGCAATGCATGGACCGGCCGATGTCTTTCCACACAATGAAGGCCTTAATCAGGAGAGAATTCAAGACCTCAAGGTGCAACGAACTTAAAGCTCGAACAAAGGAGAAACGGTGGACAGTGGCACTCTCCGACATAGCCGACTGGCCAAGAATCGAAGCCGTTGCTGAGTTTAGATTACGTACCGGACACGATTGCCTGGCAAAACACCTTCACAGATTGGGAGTATACACCCAACCCACATGCCCCCTATGCAACCTACAGGAGGAAATGGAGAAGACCCACCTGCTTCGGTGTCCGGCCCTAAAGACAACGACAGAAACCCAGAGATACTGGGAAGCAAGAAGACAGGTAATGAACTGCTATGTATATACCCCCCACTAATGGGGGAAGCTGAAGTCAAAGTTTAAGGGCTAATGATAAGCATCATAAATCCTACCATTTGAAAAAAATGTCAAAACGAAATCATCCACCCTATTTAATGTCTTTAAGGTATTATTATGCACTCTTAAATATAACGATTGGGCAGCAGAGTTACTATTATTTAACTCGTGCAAGAAGTATAACTATGAGGACACATCTTGACCTAAGAATTCACCACCACTATCACCATCCCCTCCATTCTTTCTCCTGCCAATCCCTTGCTTATTCAATCTTGCCAATCGTACAATTCACTAGTCCGATAGAAGAGTCTTCTTTTATTGACCAGTTCTGCTAAAATTCTCACCTCGTTTCCAATTTAGTTGTGGCTAAGTTCGTTTGTGGTTTAGAATACGATTACTGGTAAGTAGATTAATTCTTAGCTTCTTATACTAGTTGACTTGAAGATCATTTAATGAGTTAGTCGAAGATTTTATTAGATTAATAGTTAGCTTGCAAAAGCCGAAGAAAAATACTTAACCATTAAAACCAAGTTGACATGTCCTGATAGACAGGAGCCCAATCAGTAAAAGATGGATTTGGCACATTTATGGAATTTATATCTCAAGACCATTGAAAGGAACATTTGACTAAGCCATGAAAGTGTTGAATACGTTTTAATGAAGAAATTGAGCATAAGAGTGTTATAGTATATAAAATGCGAGTCGCAAAAAGCAAACATCAAAAAGAGTAATCAGGATGCAAATGGTCCCCAAACTCACCAAGGGAAAAGAATAGAATAACCGCTGATAGAGCCAATGATTAATGCTTTCCATATGAGGTCGAAGATCAAGTTACTTTGCATGCAGGTGTGCCAGGTGATTGACATTAATGATGACCTAGCATTGGCAACAATATGCTTTAAAGACTGCAGTAGAAGGATAGTAATGGTTTTGAATAACTAACCTTGAAATAACGCAATCTTCAACTCGACTTACTAAGATCAATTGAGCGTATAACAATAAATATGCAAATGGGGACTACTAACATGAATGAACCGAATGTAAAGAAAATAAGTGTACGAAGATAAACAAACTTATAAGGCTAAGGGTTTTAAAAATCTCAGAGATATAATTGCTCTAATGTGATTTTTAAAGAAAATTAGCAAAAATGGCAAAAAACGAATAATAACATCAAAAGCCCAATTAACAACCATATATATGAATAAAGAAAGAAATACTAATAAGGACAACAATTTATCAAGTGAAACTAGGACATGTGAGCAAATTTTAAAGCACGAGTGCTATCAATATAGAGTTAAAATTAACGGAGATAGAATAAAACCAGATGAAACGCATTTAATCTAAATAAGAGGGAATATGTACAAGAGAGAAGGAGAGTAAACGACAACACTCAGCTTAAAAGGAGAAAGAAAGACAAATCCTTAATTCTTGTCATCATGTTGATGATGTTTACGGTGCTTTCTTTTCCTCTCCTTGACTTCATCCTTCTCAGACTCAGAGACAGAGGAACTCGACTCCTCACTCGAACTGGAATGCTTCCGACTGCGCTTGTGCTTCTTGTGATGGGATTTCTTGTGGGACTTCTTTGATTTGTGCTTCCTTGACTTTTTCTTCTCACTCTCACTATCCGACTCCTCTTCAGATGATGAGGATTTCAGAGTTCTGCAAGTAATAAAAACTTGTAGAGGAAATATGAAAGTGTGGCCTATCCAAAAATAACCAAAGATAAACTCACTTTAATTTCTGTTGAGCTTCAAACAAAGCCTTAGCTTCCTCAGCCTGACGACGTCTTTCTTCAGCACGCTGCATTGCTGTGCCCACCTCATAATCGTCACCAATTCCCAATGCATCCTTGAAGACATTATTCTTGAGGATGGTGACAGCTGCAGTCTCATGAGTGCCCTTTGGTAGGAGTCTATTCGCCTCTGGAATTATGGTCGGTTTGGCCTTAAAGACCTCATCCATGCGTTTGGGTGTTACATCGTCAGTCAATTTTGAGAGTAAGTCCTTTCGGAGAGCAGACACTTTGGACTGGATTTCATCTTCAGTGTAGCCTTGATCCTCCATTTGCATTTGAAGTTCAAGACATTTCACCTCAATCTTGCGCTTTTTCTCGTGCATGAGAATCTCCTTGTTTGGCTCCTTGAAAGGAACCGCGTCTGTATGCTTTACCTCCTCATCCGTCTTGTAATTGATCTTATCCTTATAGGTAGTGAGAAATGCCAGGTTTCTTTGAACATATCCGTTAGTTCCACTGCCTCGGGGAGTCGGTAAACCAATTCCGTTATACATAGTTCTCACAGACCAAAAGTTCAATAGAGCGGTTTATTAGCGACTACTAAAACAAAATCCTAACTTCTAATTTTGTAAGCCCAGCATTTCAGTAAAATTCTACCCAACCAAACTTGGAAGCACTTTTTAAAATTTATTCCGCTTTAAGTGATGAATCTAATAGTTCCTATAATGTGAGTCTAATCGGAATATTTTATTCTTAAACGTTCGGGAAACTTGATTGCACGATTTAAACGATGCACTAAAAGAAAGGATTGGATTCTTTTAGGTTCGGAGTTTTTTGGAATTTGCATTTTATTCAGAGTATGGGTTTATAACGCATTTTATCTTGTGCGAATTATTTACAGTTCTGCTGAAACAGAGAATACCGCCCCTCCCCCCCCCCGCCCC